AGGTCGCCTTTGATCAAACCTGCCGTTTGCTGACTATATTTAGCTTTGTGAGAGATACTTATAACTTTTTACGCGAATATGCAGCATTAGCCAAAAGTTGAAGCTTCTATACGTGTGCCGCTTGCATTCTCGGGATTATATTTAGCCATTTTTAGCGCATTTTCTCATTTATGGGAAAAAGGCGCTATTGTGCTTGCCATGTCCGTCTGTCCGTCCGTCTGTCTGTCCGTCCGTGACACGTTTTCGTCGACGAGAAAATGCGCTTTTTGTCACTCACTGCAGTGAGTACTGAGTTATATTTTTTGTAAGTTTAGCTTTATCACTTTAGCTTGTGTTCTAAAACTTCTGATGATATCTTCATCTCTTGTCAAGTGTCTCGAGCCATTCAGTCAGTATCTCGAGTCGTTTAAGAAGAAAGTGAAGCCTGTCGAGCATACTTTGCATATTGAAGAGCCTATTATAGGCTTCTTATAGCGTTTTTGGGCTAGTGAGACGCAGTCTCTGTAACAATATAATTATCTTAAGTCCCCATCGCCTCACTCTGTCACGCATAAACGTCGGCCTGACGTGAAGTTATCGCCTCAATGATCGCAATCGAACGAAATTCTAACAAAAAATACTGATATGAGAAAATTTTTTTAATTGGGTAAGTTGACTTTGTTAAACTGTTGAGTAGAGGCATAACTTTGCATTAACATAAACCAATTCAAATAAATAACACACGGACATATATTTAGAAAATATTAACATATTAAGAAAATCAGTACCTTTGAATAATTAAATTTCCAGAAAATATTCTTTGCAAAGTCAAATGACCTCAAAGTTGCCAATAACGCCAAGGCCTTCATAAAATCCTCACCAGCAAAGCCATCAGAGGCAAGTTGGAAGTTTAAATGACTTTGAGTAACTTGCACTTAATTAGATACTGTTAACTGACCTTGACACCGCATCTAAAATTTGCTCACAAAAACCGTCCAAAGGTCGCTTGAAAACTTTCAAGACCAAGTCTTAATCTTGGATTTTTTACATATTGGGCCCCGCGAATGGAATGACTGGAACTTCAATCAACATCGCCGCTTTTTTCATCTTCGCTACTGCCACAAAATCCCCCGACGAACACAACTTTCACGACGGCCGTTTTTGATGTCGGTCGGAAGCCACTGACTGGCCATAATATTGTCCAGATTTGAACCAGTCTCAAAAACCTTCAATTCAGCTCCTAATTTCGTCGTGAAGTCTGGCCGAGGTCACGGCAGCATCACAAAATGGTTCAATAATCAATGCCGTCCAAGAATCAACGACTCCAAATTTGTGCCACTGGGTCACAGACAAGATGGACCGAAATATCCTGAATTATTCATATTGATTTGCCATTACGTAAGTAACTTTTGCCGCCTGTATGCAACCTTCGAGCCATTGCAAGCATCAGCGTAATACTTTCTCCGTGAAAAATGTCCGCTGACTACCAGATACATTTTTGGAAATGCCGAATTTTGGTCAATCCATTAGAACTTTTTACGAAGTAATATGGTATGTTTATCGCGTGTGTGTGGTATTTTAGATGATTTCCTAACATGCTGATGGTTTTATCGAGTTAGTCGGAGACTCATTTAAAAAATTGAAATACTGACTAGCGTGTCTTTATTTAACGTATGGTACCTATTATGTAAAAAATGTCTTCGATTTCAAACGTAGTTGGTTGGCAAACTGTAAAAATTACTACTTGATTTCTGCATTTACTTTTAATACAGATAGGAAATTCCAACTTTTACCAATAATTGGAAAAAAATAATAATTAAGAAAACCTAAATAAAAACTTCATTATTAATAATATTGAAATATAATACGCATGTCAGGTCAGAGAGGACGGTCACTCTTAGCGCGTCACGACTAAGCCCTCATTGATTTGCCTGTCATGGCGACCGTCGGTGATGTCGTAGTCATGCCTATTAATGAGCACTTCACTGCTCACGCCTATAACCATCACATTAATGACTGAATATTTGCTGGACACTGAATTGATGAGCAGTTCGCTGCTCACGCGTCTAACCATGCTCGCTGAACATTGCACACCGTATTGAAGGTCTGTCGGTTCTACATTTGGAGCAGGATTTGTATCTCAATTGTAATTCACTGTGCTTCAACTTTGCTGTGAAGGAAAAAAATTAGATTTCTCCCAGATATTGATTGCATCCGGGGTTGTATAGAGGTTATTTGCAAAATGATAATTTAATTGGAGACTTCAAACAAACATTGCGTTATTCATGGAAGAGAACAACCAACAAACTTGAAAAAAGTAGAATAAACATAATATATTCTCCTTTATTTCGTTGAATTTTTTCAAAATTTTGGCCTCCATCAGAATTTCTAAATGACGAATTTCCATCAGAATTTCTAAATGACGAATGAAAATGTCCACGGGCTTTACACCGAACATTCAATTATATTTTCTTGCCTCTCCAACAGACTGGACGATTCCTGGGAAATCAATTTCACGCTGCATGATTGAAACACGATTGAATGCTCGGTTTTTATTCAGCATAACGTGTATATAATGGAATAATGATTCATTCAGCTGAGATTGGGACATCGTGTTGAATTTTGAGTAGCTTGGATTTGTTTAAGAAGTTTGTTGCCACGGTTTAATGTATTAGATATGTTTTCGAGTGAGATCCGCTGTTGTTTTTTTATTCTTCTATTGTTCAATGAACTTGTGAACAGGAGTTTTTGATTAAAATTAAATTAGATTTTGAATGATTAAATAATTGACATAAAATAAAAAATTTTCCTCTTATGTACAAGGCAAGCGAGAAATGTTTGTTTATTGTTATGTTTGTGTTCAGGCGAGACCATCTATAATAAAGCAAGCTGGTTTTCACTTACAATAAGGGCGATACAACAGACGATTGTTTTTCGCCAGGCGAAGATCAAATCATAAAGTTGTTGCTGGTCCGATTGGTAATATTGGAAGGCTGATTGAGCGCGTGTCCACGATACGCATCGAATCAGGAAGTCATTACCATGAAAATCACAATATTTGCTAGATCTGAAATTGGTTATTTTGATTGACAAAAGTACACTGAATTTGTATGTTAAATAAAACTGGAAAGTTGAGATACAATACAAAAAATATAGCTCAGTACTCACTTCAGTGAGAGACAGAGAGCGCATTTTCTCGTCAAAGAAAACTTAAAGTCACGGATGGATAGACGGACAGACAGACGGACTGAGAAAATGCGCATAAATGAGAAAATGCGCTGAAAAGAACGCTTTTCTCCCTTTTTATTGCTACGCATCAAATGCAAAAGAACGTATGACTAAAAATATGTAATGAAGAAATAGGATACGTAATAATAAGATAATACGTGTAATAAGATAAAAGTACATGTAAATGAACAATATTCTATCATCTGAACGGGATGTATCTGTATAACAAGGAAAAGTAAAGTAAGAAACATCAATATATCATTCATTTTATTCAGGTTAGAATGAATTAGTTATGAATGCCGTTACTTGTGTCCGGTAGTAATATGGAACGGCCGTGTGAGCGCAGTCCGACAGAAGGAGATTCCATTGAGTGCTTCTTGTAATAGAATCTACATGTTCAGCCCCTGCAGGCTGAACAAGGTCTCGCTTCATGCTAGCCTCCATGGCGTGCATATGGAGGAGGCGGGTGCTCCATGGCGTGCATATGGAGGAGGCGGGTGGGCTCAACCATTTGGATCACAAGGACGAGGTTTAATCCTAGTGATCGTGCGAATGTTTATCCTTTCGAAGACATGTTTTATTTTAGACTAAAGCAGCAACACTGGGAATGACCACAGCATCTATGTAATGAATTTTTAGGATGCAAGCGATGAAAGCAGATCAATGTACCTCGCCATGATAAACCTATGCATTATTGTACTATGCATAGATTAAGCCATAAATAATGAATTAATCGATTATTATATCTTTGTCACTATGCAAAAAGTATTACATTTCAGGTGACATCGTGAGTTCACGATGAGAAAATTAATTCTTTGATGCTATGCAATTGATTGGAGAAAGTCCTATAAAAGCCTGTGCAAATTTAAATGTACACAGACACATAAACATAACGCGATGAGTTTGAAAATTTGAACTTTAAGCTGCAATGAGCGTGTTTCAGACATAAGGTCTTTTGTAATAAAAATAATTTTTAATTTAACTTCAACTCTGTATTATGATCCTAAAATAACTAATCGGACTGTACCTGAGAAGAAGAAAATTAATGCTAAATGTTTCGAAATTTCGAGCAACTGTCGTCTGTTTGTCTATCAATAAACAGAAAATAGACCGCAAAACGATTTTGTCATTAATGACGTAAATGGCGAAAATGTCCATCATATTTTTTTTATTCTCCGCAAATCCAAAAATGTAAGTTATGATTTTTATCTTGTAAAGTTGGAACAACGAACACAAACAAAATTTTTTTCAAAGGACTCCGACATTCAATTATTGAAGTGTAGAACTGGCTACTGGCTACGATATTAGTAACCCAAGCAAATTAGAAATTCGCGAATCAGAATAATAATTGCAGCAAATTTACGTCTTGCAGATTATAACAGGCGCAAATAATAAGCAGCAACTTAAAATCACTTGACAGAAATGCGAATTCTAGAACAATATGCGGGTTATAGAAATACCTGCAAATTATGAAGAGAAGCACGACTCTATTTGTACAAAACGAGATAAAGCTAGGAATACAACGTAGAAAGACTCCAGATTACAAGAAATTAACTTTAACATTAATAACATTAATTAACAATTGAGACAGGCTTGCACCAAATGAAAAATATTAATTTGCAGCATATTAACTAATTATGCATTTTATTATATGTTTGCATTGGTTGTAGTACTATTATCACCTGGAGTCAGGCAACGTAGTCCCTTGATCGATAAAAATATTAATTTGAAGCATTTAATTGTAAAATTAATGTATTTTATTATTAATTTTAATGCATTTCTATTATTTGCACCTGGAGTGAGGCGACCCACTGCACTGCCAACCACCAGCAGGAGTGTCAGCGCCACCGTCAGGAGACAGGAGCCACTGATGCGACGTCTGCTTGGCGGGATCATAATTTTTACGTCATCCAAAGATGCGTACAAGAAGTCGTTCTGGTGATGCATATGCATCTTGTTATATTGTTTATTTTCTTGCTGCTTGTATGTCATATTAGAATTATGTGTTTTATTACGCATTTTGATGATATGGAAGATCTTCTTTTAATGAAATGCGCTTGTTTTTATTTAACTGCTGTTCGGTGTCTTAGCAGTTGTATGAAGTTCAGATAACTGATCAAAATATTATGCTTGAATCATGTTTAAATATTTCTAATTAGAGTTTACTTATAGGACACAATCACTCTAGTTGGTTCCTTAAAAGGAGTTTAGAAACAGGAAGTAGAGTATGGTCAGTTACAAGACAAAAGAAACGTTTTCTTCTTATCGAATTAAATTCACTTGGTGTCTAGAATGTCGGTCACTTTCTTGTTAAAGATAATTTTTCACGAGATGTTCACCGCACGAGAGCTACACGTGCACTGATCTCGGTCACCGCGCTCACTGGGCTTTATAAGCCAGCCCAGAACTGGCGCCAAATGCTCAATACTCAACGCGCCTTATTTACGATGTTCTCGGGTAACTGTCATGCAATACTTGATATATACACAAGTTGCAAATTGCGAAAATAATTATAGAATTCGTGGCATCGTACCTGCATACAAAATAAAGTAATAACATTTGGGCATTTTCATCAGCTGAAAATGAATTGGCCGCCGCTGCTGGCAGCCGCCGCTGTTCGGTTCCAGGAAGTGTAAGCATGACGCCCACGCTTTGCTTTTGTCGGGAATGATGCAGGCAGCGTTCCAACATTCCAGTTTCCATCATTCCGATCCTGCAGAGACTTTCATTGATGAGCGATGCTCGTAGCGGCGGGGGAATTTCCCGGAACTACAACCGCCGGCCTCCGTACGTTCGTACGGCTTCATTCATGAAAAGTTGATGGTGCAGAAAAATGAATAGGATGCGGCTGGACGAAAAATTTCTGTCATTCAATGAATGTGAGTCATAAAAGTGGTGACAGTGTGATTGGTAATATGATTGAAACAAATGAGGAACATGACATTTCATAATTAATTGAAAATTTGAGTGAATGAGTATTTTGCAATTGAGGATTACAAGCATTACTGTCGTGACGTATGATTGGCGAATAACAGGAAATGATATTAATATTATAGATTATTTCTCGCAATAATGGGACATATTCCGCCAAGACTTTCCCAATGAGGGTAGGAGGAAGCATTCACACTTACTTATAATAGAACAATTCCTTTTCATGCAGATTATATATAGAACATTTCAAGCAAAAAGTTTTCATGCAGATTAAAGTTAACCACCAGATTTTTAGCGCATTTTCTCATTTATGAAAAAATGTACTCCTGTGCTCGCCATGTCCGTCCGTGACTTCACGTTTTCGTCGACGAGAAAATGCGCTCTCTGTCACTCACTGCAGTAAGTACCGAGTTATATTTTTCATTTTTTTCCAACTATGAAGATACAAATTTTGCATTTACACAGTTAAATTAAAAAATTATTGCATGATTGCTGAAGATTCATCTTTTCTCTGGCTTATATTGTGTTTTAGGAACCGATACAAACAGCGAGTTAGGGAAACATGAGTCATGAGGTGAGTCTGCCTGTCTCGGTCCCCTCACTCCTGCTCCCTCATGGATCGATGGTGAGGGTGATTTAGGGAATGGTGATGGCAGATTACCATCAATCATCATTACATCCGAGAGAGAAGAAAGGCTCAAGCGTTTATACGACCAAGCTACGAGCCAGTCTTGAACGAGGAAATTCATTGGTACGCCGTGAGTCTACGGAAACTAATTCCAAGATTTCATTATTTTCACGTTTATTTTAGGTGAGGTGATATGGAAAAAATATCAATCGATTATGCTGACAATTTTAGAAGAATATTCACGCAAAAGCAAGTTGGAAAAATGTAAGCATATTTTTCGTTGCATGTATTGTTTGATTTTGTTCTAGCTAAATTTAGTTCGGTAACAGGCTTAACATACCTGGCGGTGAGAGTTAAACACCGAAATTCCCTTTAATGTTCAAACATGACGAGCAGTTCTGCGTATAAAATAGAATTCACCCACAATAAATTATTCCCAAACCTTTACTTACGAGCATAAACGCAAAGTCATGTAAAGAAAGACAGAAAATGTACATCTAATTTGAGTACGACGTGAACATCCTTATAACACTAATATGTTTTGTGCGGAGTATTCATTAATAGACTCATTGATCTATCTTTTATAGTCAAGGAATAACATTAATAAACTCAGAAGCAATAATCCAAAGCATTATCCCTCACGACTTTGGTAGGAAGCCACCAAACAAACAATTCAACAGGAACGCCGAACAGAAGCCAACATCCAAACACATTCGCTCAGCAAACAGTGGCGTTGTGTGGTGGCCAAATACAGCCAACAATCAACAGAGCGACAACGCTTCTGTCCGCCCACATAGAAGCTCTGACGAACATATATTCATCATTATCAACGAACATACCAAAACAATTATGGAAAATATTGAGGAAAATGGATAAAAATTATAACGTAGAAAAACCGACGTCATTCTGCGCAAATATCCCAGCCAAAACGATTAATTGGCAAGTCACCTGCAAATTCGTATATGAGCCAACGAAATTCATAATTAGACATTATCTGAGGATGAATTAATATTTACGTTCATTTAATTAAATTTTACGTCGCATATATGGCAAATTTTTTATATATTTTTTTCATTTCCAGCGATCATTTCATTTTTCCAGCGATGTTTCACTGCTGGCTATTATTGATTTTCCAAAAATTTATATTTTAAAATTTGTCGAATTTTTTACTCCAAAACTTCCTTTTACATAGCATAGCGGAAGCTTGTTTATGACGCTGTTTCAGTGATATTTTATATTTAGCCATACTCTCGTGATAATTTCAATATCTCCACAGGTTTGTCAAAAATTCTGGAGTGGATGTGTCATTGCTAATCCAATTTCCACTACATCATTTTATTCTGTACCTGTTTTATTAGTTTTCTTCGTCTTCGACTTCCTTATTTTGTGCTCGTGACTGTTTCTTCCTCCAGCATTGCCTAAAGAACCGAGGAACCATTAAAATTCCACCAAGAACTAGAAGGAGAGCCAAAAAACCGAAGCCAAACGCCAAAACAAGAACTAGATGAACAGCTAAAGAATTGAGGCTACCGTAAAACACCACCATGAACTAGAATAACAACAAACTAACGTAGGTTCTCAGAAAACCTAACATAAGAACAAGAAAACGATCTTGAGAATAAAGGCTCCTTTGATATCTAGAACTAGAAAAGAACCAGAGAGCGACCAGAGTTTTGTGGCGTGACGGCCGCGCACGGCAACTGCGACTCTGTCATTGGATTCTTCGTCTGTAACGCGATTATGGGACAAAAATAGGCACTGCCAGTGTGGCAAATTGGCGTTAACTCTCTACCTGGAGCGGGTCTGGTGAAAATAGTGTACGTAATGGTGCACAAATGTAGAAGATATCCTGCATAGATTTCAAGTGAAAATAGTGAGCATTAGGGTGCAGAATTAAATATTATTCTATATAAAGAAATGGTAAGAAATGTATAATGGTGTAAAAATTTTAGGAAGAGGATATCATTCACAGAGATTTGGTCAATATATAGTCATTAAATATATGTAGTAAAATCACTAGAATGTACTTATCATGATCTTAGGTCTAATTTACATTGCACCGGTAGATGACCAAAACAAAAATGGGAAAACAGTAAAAAGAAATATGAAATAACTTAAAGAATAAATATAAGAAATAGAAATAGTAGATATCGTACACAAACATATGTATAAAATAAAGAGCTAATGGGCATACATATTAAAAATGAGGTATCCTATAAGGTATTGTTAGAAGAGTGAGCATAACAGTAGCAGGCATTTCAGGAAAACGGTATCCTCCATAGAGGCGATAGAATAACTATGCTAAATGCTAGTAAAGCGTTGATTCGTAAAACCTAGATATGGAATAATGGATGCTCCTCGCTATAACACGGATAAAATGCAGGGTGGGATGAAAATTTTATTAAAGGAGAAATTGGAAATCATGGGTTAGACGAATAAATGATAACACGTGTAAAGAAATCGTACGAATAAAATAAAGAATACATGTGTTAAAGATTAATTTCAGAAACAAATCCGCGAGAAGAGAGAGATATATATGAGAAACATACATTCGTGAAAACAAAAAATGAAGAAAATTTAATTTCAATGTCAAAAATCCCAACGTTTGAAAAAGAATGTTAGAAATCTACTAGATATTTTCAGAACTTAAATAAAGCATAAAAATAATTGTGGAACAACCTTATTTTCCTACGTTCAGCCTACGAGTACTGAAAAAGCCCACGTGTTTTGCCGAACGCCAAAAAAATCGCACGGCTTTCTTATTTTGCAGCGGCCTGGAAACCAGACTTCAGGAAAACTCGACTGGCGGCGAATATTCCGAGAAATGTTCACAATTAGAAGCTCCCTCACCTTTAATTAAAATGAGGCAGCTCGCCATAGCCGACCCACGGATCCTGTCATAATTTTGTGGTTGAGCGAGCAACACGATTTACGCTCAGTATCTTTATCTATTGGTGAAGTTAAATGAATAATGATCCAATATTATACTAAACATTATAAATATTTGTTCATAGTTCGCAGAGCTTCACAATTCTTATCACACTCATGAATTCCAAGTGTAGAAGGGTGTCAAATTCCTCGTCACCAAAGTGGGCTTACTTAAAAGAAGAACATAATTTCAGCAAAATTTTTGAATATTCCGGCAGAGGCTAAAAAAATCACTAAATAAGGTTAGAATTTATCTCCAGGAGCATCTAAAATTTATATTAAAATAGATAGATTTGATGTCATTCGTTACAAGGAACATTTGCATTTATTTATTTGATCATAATAAAATTAATCAATGACATATAGGTGCATGCCGCTTGTGGGCTCGCAATGTTATCGGTCACGAAGTGCGATGCTGGGGCGGCCGTTGCGTAGATGAAGAGTCACTTGTGAAGGGAGCCTTGAAGGCAATTAGAGCTTTGCGCTGCGCTTCGAATTTGCGTTCATCACTACAGTGGACCACGTGAACCTACATACTAGTGAGCCACGTGAACCTCTAGTGAGCCACTTGAACCCTGTAGTGAGCCACGTGAATCCAGCGCCGTACTACATGAACCCTGTGGTGAGCCACATGAACCCTGTAATGGGCCTCGTGAACCCTGTACTGGGCCACGTGTACCAAGCATCCGTCTACGTACAACCAGCATCAGACCGCTTGAACACTGCAGCAGACCACGTAAGCCCGTGGCACAGCAGCAACTACGCATCATTGTTCTGGAATAAAACGAGTGTAATGAGTCAAAACTCCCTACACATTTACGAGCTGCACATCAGATTTTTAATGTGTAGATAAATA